ACAATAGATGTTAAGCACACATATAACAAGTTGGAAGAGCTCCACTCTTGCAACTGGTTGCATGTCTAATTATCCAGTCGGTAATGATAGTAACTTGTAACAAAAGTGGTGGCTCATGGGGAATTTCTTTTTATCTTATACAAGGTGTTAGTTTTTTCAATGTTGGTTTCCACATATGTATTCTAAACACGATCTCAAGACTTTTTCAAAACCATTTAATAAGTTGATTGAGCTAAACTGAAACTAAACCTAAACTTATTCAAACAGAATCTTGTTAAATCTAAATCAATTGGGAAAAGGAAGATTAGATGTAGTTAGATCTTGTGCAAAATTCCTATAGAGCCACCCTAAGATCTTCTCACTTCTAAAAAGTTCAAAATTATTATATTTATAGATAGGTCTCACAGGCATCCATGATATGTAAATGCAATCCATCATCTTACTCAAAAAGAGTTTTTGGTTTACCTCCTTAACATGGCCAATTCTAACCAAGTCACCAAATAGTGTCCAGTCCTAAGATCCTATGCAATTTTATTCAGAACAAAAAATCTTACTTTTTTTGCTTTATTGGCAAGTATAATTATGATAATATTGGCACTCGAAAAACTTCTAGACTCTTCCTCCCAAAGAACAAAAAAATGTTAAGAGCGTGTTCGGTCGTTGGGTCACATTCGTCTAATAAAAGTCAACAATAACGACTAGTTTTTTAATTTTAATCCGATTTTAATATCAACCGAACACGCCCTAAATCTTATCATACTAATAACCCAATCAGTTCACTCAAGAATATCGATTGAATTATGAATTCATGTCATAAGTCACTATCCTAAACCAATTTCGGCAAATCAATCCAAGCAACATCATGAAAGTAGCAGTTCCAAATGCAAAAGCAGTACGTATGTTCTAATAAATTATTATTTCCAAAAGACCTGGTAGGACATTGCTACTTGTTATTGCTTCATTTACACTCATTTAGCAGAAGTCACAGGCCACTAAAAATGCCATAAACAGCAAGTCAGGACTTTCAGCTTTGACCATCGGTAACTCTTTTTTCATTTGTTTCTTCAAAACAAGAAATTAAAGCATCAACTCATAATCAATATAAAGTTCATTATGTTCATTTCTCAACTTGAACTCTAAAAAATACAATTAAGCAACATAAAATCTTACATTGAATAAATAAATATACTGAAAAAGTATTAATCAACTAAAGATGAACTTACGAGAAAGATGAATCTATCGAGCAAGAACCTGGCCACGACGAAACCAAAAGCAAAGTAAAACGAAACAACAAAATGCCAGACATTTGGAACAGCATTTTGCTTCCAGATCGAGTCCATTACACTATTCCAGACTTCGTTACTCTCCATATTCAATCACCACCAGTCTAAACGAAAAACATATATATACATATATCATAAATTCCAACACTTGAACAACTGAGTTGTCAAGAAATTTTCAGTAAGCAGAGTGACTGGCTGGAGAATCAGTAGAGAGAGAGTACAGATCGAGGAAGTTGACTGGTGGGGAAGATGGACCGTTGAAATTTCTCTATTTTCAAAAAGAGAGAATTGCAGTTGGGGTCCCAAACCTTTCAAATTATTACATATTATACCCAAACTCTTTATTTTTGCAGTTGGAGTCCCAGACGTTCCATATCGAGTGCAGCTGAAGAACATGTGGACGGAATCTATTTGACCATTAGTTGATCAAAAGTTAACAATCTGATCAAATTATCCCATAATAAATAATTAAATAAAAACATTTGGTTAGACCATTGACTTTTGGTTAAATAACAGGAATGAATTCTATCCACATGTCCTCTAAACTTACTCGAGATGAAAGGTTTGAGACTCCAACTGTAAAATTAACAAATTTGGATATGTCTGATTTAAAATATAGAGAGAGCACCAAAATGGTGGAAAGAAATGAAAACTAAATATAAGGATGTCAACGAGCCGAGCCGGCTTACGAAGCTCGATTTCGATTAAAAATAGTTTACTTTTTTTTATCCAAGCCAAGCCAAAAAATTGAGGCTCAACCCAAGCTTTCAGCTTGAGTCTTAGCAAACCGAGCTGACTCGTTGGATTTCTTTGTATGGCTCGACTCGTCACGGGCTGACCCGTGTGGCTCATCTGGCCATGGCTTGAGCCGAAGCCTCAAAATGGGGCTCGACTTGAGTCACGAGTTGGGCCGGCTAAGGCTTTTTCTAAATTGAGCCACAGGGCATTCCAGCCGACGAATCAAATTGACACCCCTAACTAAATATTATCTATAATTTTATCTAAAAGATCTCTCCCTTTTATAGTGCATGTTTGGTTAAGTTTTAATTATAATTATTTTTATTCAAACATACTTTTTTATTCACACATTTCGTAAAATACAGAAATACTATCTACTTTTTATTCAAATATTCTGCGAGACCAACTTTTTAAATTATAATTTAAGCACTCCCCCATAAGCACTTATAAGTCAATAGATTATAATTTCTCTTATAATTTAAAATAACTTTTTCATGTGAGTTAGAATGATTTTCAAGGGTCAAAGCTATAGCTAGTGGTGGTCAACTATCATTGTTAATTGATTTTGATGGCTCGGATATACCAGCATCTTGTCTAGCTAAAGATGGCCCGGCAAGGGCAGTTCTAAGTCCCGACCATGGAGACGTCAACACATTTTTTGACACCTCAGGACATTACATTTGTTAAGAAGAGGTGATGTACCAAGGTATCAAGAATGTATTCCCGAGACAGCAATCTCAACTTTACAAATGCAGGATTAATTAAAAAGACGAGTCAAAGAATCATTGTGAGCTTTACTCACTGAATTCCGATCCCATCTCAGACACAATAACATCGCTAATCCGAATGTCCCCATGTAAGGCTAGAGCTAACATAATGCACTTGCGAGATATCCTATTTCACCTTTATACATTTCCATTGTATCGAGTGAAAGAAATTAATGGATACAATGTGGGGATTAGATGAGAAAAGACGAGCTATGCACCAACAGGGACTCCTGCAATAATGAACGTGAGAAGGGACGAGCAATCCACCCAGCCAAGATCCCTTTTCTCAGAATTTAGTCGGCAAAGCTGAAATTAGCCACGAATGCAAGCCAAAAGCATCAGGATGTCAACCTATACGAAAATGAATTCGAACTTGGCACATGGGTTGCTCTCTATGTAATTCCTGAAATCAGAATCTCCTTTGAAGCTGAACGTATATAATGCTTGCCTCTGTGTCATTCCGACAGGATATATTCTGTAAATTTTGAGGTCATCCCCTCCCCTTATGCTTTTGGGTCTCTCAGATTTCCAAATTGGAGCGTGTTTCATGGACTTGAACTTCAAAAGAACGGCATAATTTAAAGCCCCCAAGGTCAAGTTGTCCGACCTGAACAGTTATGTCACACGAGAAAATCTATGATACAACTTAAAATGGTCTTCAGAAAGCAAATATATATGAAAATATACAAAGTTCAATATGCACGGCACTTCCATGAGGAAGAATCTACTAATTACGAATTTACAGACAAGACAACATGAGGTAGGTAATCTAAAAAAGAAAGGGAAAGAAATGAGACGGTGAACAAAAAAGAAGTTTTATTGCACCCTAATGGATGCTGATCATATAATAAAAAGGCAGGAATAACATGTCAAAGCGAATATTTCATTTAATTCTCTCCTTTAGAAGTTCTGCTTCATACTTGGTCAAACATTTTATGAATGCTAGGATTTTCAAGGGTTTTACTGTGTAGGTGTTTTGGATAAGTAAAAAACACAAGACTATTTTATAACATATCCATACGAAAGTTGTTACGTACAGTTGTAAAATATAAATACCTTAAGAAAATGGACTCCATCTCAAACCTCCCTCTTTCCCTTGCATAAATGTGATACGTAGTCCGCGAGCCACTGATACACTTGCAGGGCCGTTTTCTAAATTCTGCACTTTCCTCGTCTTTCTCTCGGATCTTTGTAGCCAAATAAATGCACAAACGGCAAGATGAATGAACTGCCGCCATATCAACAAGCGCCTTAAAAGAATCTGATGGCCCTTCAAGCTTCCACCTGAACAAAAATGACCCAATTGAGATGAAGCCCTCCACAAGTAGGAAAATTCTCCCTTATGTTCCCGAGAAGAAAATTCAAATAGCGATTAAATAATGATATGCAAATTTGCCAAAAAACAAGTACGAAACTTGAGACATAAACAGACAAGGAAAAAAGAACACCAACAAACTTATTTATTTTCTGTACAGTTGCTGGAAAAAGTTCAACAAAAAGAATGGCACAGTCATCAGTCTATTGCTAACCTTAATGACTCATTATATGCACTGGGATTTTCGGCAAGATATTTCACGGACTTGGCAACTGAATCAACGTCTTTTAGCTCCCTGATATGCAACAGTGAACCAGAAGAAGGAGCAAAATCTTGGATATTAGGTGCACCAATGACCACAGGAACAGACCCTGTAATTTTTGCGTAGTCATTTCATCAAATAATAGTAAAAAATTCGAACAATTATTTTAATAGTCAACCTCTTGGATGTTTTGGATAAGAACTTTAAGCAAATAGTAGTACTTAAATCAAATATTATGTAAATTCAACTTCTGTTGGGTACAAAAGCAGTGGAAATTTCACAAACGAACATTGATATTATATAGACATACATTCTTGGTTTGAGAACTATGTTAGACAGAGAACTGTTACACAGTCTGAAATCAAACTCATCGGTACCAGAAGATCAGAAATGTCACCAAATCTATCACAAACTAAATTAAACAGGAGAAAATAAAAATAATATGAAATACCAAAGCAATGAGAAGAAATAAATTATAATACCAGCTACAAGACACTGGAAAAATTTTTCAGTGACATAATCCTCTTCATTCGAGTTCTCAAAAGCCAAGCTAAACTTGTAGCGCTTCAAAGTTTCCACTTTGTCCACTGCAAATAAGTGCACAAAAAAGATTGTCAAATGAGTAGAGCTATGTCATCCAGATACACATGAGATGCATCAAATAGAGTAAAAGATCAATATACTCATATATTTCTTTGCCAACGCAGTTACAAATCAAATATCAGTATTAGAACAACCATGCACACATAAATAGCTCTAGAATATGGAAGACTCTAAATGCAAAGAAAATTCTACATTATCCTTGCATCGCCTACACATTGCCGTACAAAATTTCCATTTATATTTCTTCAGCTCTAAACAAACAAGCCACTATACTCACCTCTTCCATGGCGGTTCCTATGACAACCACCGTAAGAATCAATTTTGATGTTTGATTTCTCAAGTGCAGTCAAAGCTTGCAAGCGGAAGTTGCGAGCAGCACAATTGGAAATAAAGGCGGCAGCAAGAGCACTTTCAGTTTTTGGTTGCACTGGAGCCATTATATCATACTCAGCCCAAGAGAAATATCCCACAGGAACATCCGATGAAAGACTAGTAGTCATGACAACATCATATCCCCTCCTAATACAAAAAACCAAGGAATAATGCAATTAGCTTAACAATAAATCTCTAGAGACTACAATTGTCAAGGTTGCAACTAGAGAACCTTCAAATTTGCTAAACTACACGTTGAAGATATATTTTGTTGTGGCGACATTATCTTGGTTATTTTTTTTAATAACCTACAACATAAAAGATATTAAAAAATACCTAAAACTTCAATAAATTAGATAAATTCATTTAACATTGCTTGTACGATCTAGGGTCCTATGTTTCTATTCTACAATCACACTCCATATCTTCCAAAAATAATTTAAACTATGACCCCAATTTTAAAACCAGATTTTAACTGCTTGTTTGATATGGGACAAATGGCCATATTTTGGGGAACATGTACAAGATTTTATATTATTTTCATACAGTGCCAAATTATAACATCACAAAATTTGCTAAGAATGGAGCCTCGAACGGTATTTGGTTGATGTACAAGATTTGCTTCAGAACACAAGAACTAGCTTAATGGTTCAGCATTTAGCTCCTCGAGCAGGAAACAAATGGGAGAAGTGGTAAAGTAGCTTTCTATTTGCTTTTGTTTGACTCTCTCTCTCTCTGTAAGTATTCTTGTTCCTGTAGTTAATTTAGCAAAATAGAGAGGACAATATCTAAGGGAAGGCACAGAGAAACTAATGTTTTCTGTGACTAGACTCACTACTCTACATAAAAGCATAATCACTCCTGCTGCTCAATCCAAAATTAATGTCGGATAAGATTTTGTAGGATGATTCGAGTTTAATTTTGAACACAGTTAACCCACTAAAGAGTGTGCTTACCCACCGTCGTGACATATCAATGCTATTCTCAGCATAATATCTAGCTGACTCCATTGAGCGAAGCACACCAGCAGTGCCCCGTTCCTGAGAAAGTCCAAATGCAGCATCAGGCTTCTTACCAGAATCAAAACCAAACTTACATCCCACAGCGCAGGTCTTCCACTCCTAAAAACATGTTATAGAAGTCAAAATGTGTGAAGGTTCCACAAGAAAGCCACCAGAATAAGTACCATTACAAACTTATAGATAACTGAGTAGAAGAAAAGCTTGAATGACAATGGATTCAAATTCAAAGCAAGTTAAGATTTGCTATTTAATGGTAATTTCATTAGATCACATTGATCATCCTCCTACAAATAACCAGAAAGTACGTGTCATTGTCATTAATGAATTTATGGATATATAATCAATGACGTTAACATGTAGTCTGGAGTTGCAATCATATTGCCTTGTAATAACAAATGATCACCGTGATCCTCCTCTGCAAGTACAGATGTCATGTAAAATGAAAACAATAAAAAAATGCATGAAAAGAAGAATGATTTTCATATATCAATGACTACTAATCAACAAAACAAGCTTTGGTATCTACATAATTATGCAATACCTCCAGAATTTCCAAAAGCAGGTCAAGAAAAATCTATAAAATAAATCATAATATTACTGCAGAATACGAAAAATTGGTATAACTTGAAATATTTATAGATACATACCTCATTACCTCCATTGACAAAAATAGGCTCTTTCTTAAAATCTCTAGAATAAGGAACATAATCCTCCTCCTCCAGCCATGCCTCGCACCTGTCCTCGGGCCCGGAGCCTGGATCGTTAAGCCTGCCGCTACCAATGCCCGACCAAGCTTCATCGGCCAAAGAAACCGTTGACCAAGACGACGTCGTGGACTTGGTGAACTGGTAGAAAGAGTCAGCCCACGTGTTAACCAGGTCAACGTTCTTCGCCATGTCGAGCCGGCACAAAAATGCGATCTCACCTAACACAATAAGGCCCACAAAAGCGGGCAAAAAATTAGACCATTTTTTCTTGTTTACTGAGAACGATGACGCGGTTGGAAAATCTGGTTCGGATACTGATGCTTCAGGTCGTGGATTCTGCCTCTGATTCGTGGTACCCATAGAATTTGAAGCTACGGATAATTCAGGAAACTCAATATTCAACGACGGAACTTCTCGTGTTGTACAGTGAATTTGGTAATTGAGGGCTTTTGTGAAGAGTTCACTTATTTTGTAAAATTTATTTTTCTCTCAAATTCTCTTTTGAACTATATATTTAAAGATTTATACTTTTTATCAGTTTCTAACAATATATTTCATCAATTTTTATTAAAATTCACTAAAATTTTGATTTTTATCTAAATTAGACAAAGGTTTAATTGCATTATACTTTAATATTACATTATTTACTATCAGAAGAACGAAGAAACATAATTTTATATTATGCCCATTTTTTATTCAATTAGGTGCAAGCAACGTGCAATGCACGTTTGTTTAGTTTTTATTTAGTATTTTTGTTTAATAATTAATTTGTTATTAATAAAAATGTAATTTTTTTTTGTTAATTAAGTGCGTGTCTGAGCGCGCTGCAA